ACACACACACACACACACACACACACACACACACACACACACACACAGGTCTTGTTAGTACAATCAATTCATTCACAGCAAAGGGTCTGAATACTTATGACCATGTGATATTTCAGTTTTTCTTTTTTAATAAATTTGCAAAAATTTCTACATTTCTGTTTTTTTCTGTCAAGATGGGGTGCTGAGTGTACATTAATGAGAAATAAAATGAACTTTTTTGATTTTAGCAAATGGCTGCAATGAAACAGAGTGAAAAATGTAAAGGGGTCTGAATACTTTCCGTACCCACTGTATTCCTGGAGGTGCATTGTATTCTTTCATGTCTTTGCCAAATTTGAAAGGTCCTCTCGTCTGAGATCCTGTCTGTCAGTATTTATGCAAAAATGTTCCCCCTCAAAAATCGTACATGTGCTGTTTGGTTCACGTATGAATGTGTCTCAGTGTAATAAACCAAATGTGCGGCTGCTTCTATGATAACCGGAGAGGCTGCAGAGTCCCACACAGGATTAGCTTCCCTTTTTTTTCACCATTTAGAAGAGACAGATGTCTCAGAACCAAGCTGGATCTCGTCCAGGACTCTACACTGATACGCTGGTCTCCTGTTAATCAGCCGTGTCTGTGCATGCATCTTAAAATGATAACTCTCACAAATCACATATGGACAGCAGAACAGAAGACGGATCATTGGCTGCCGTCTGTCTTCTTCACCTGTATTTAATAACTTCCCATAGCCTGCAGATTGCAAGGGAACCTGGGTGATTTGTTTGGTCTTGTGCTGGCTTTAATTAGTATTTTAATTACAAAGTGTCTGGGACTCTTTTTGTTTTTCAATCTGGGTTTACCCACCGGGGAGCCCTGTGCTCCAAACGTTGCTTGAAGTGATGCAGCAGCTACCTGATCTGTTTTGTTTAATAAGTTGAAACAGTGTGGCCAGCATTCATATTCTCTTAGCAGCCTGGTGTGTGTGTGTCATGTTGCCTGATTTGTTATTTCAGTGTAAGTAGCTCCTTCACACTCATTTCTATAGAGAGACAAACTACAACATTTTAGTTAAAGGACCAGTTTATTAGACTGAACTCATCCTCTCATTTGCCTTTTGGCCTCGTAACATCAGTGTCATGACATCACTGCTGCTGACGTGATCTTGCCAATCAGTGTCCTCCACACTGAGGAGGAAAAGCAGAGAAAAGCATGCAGTCCTCCTCTAATACCCAGTATGAAGAGAAGCTGTAATTACACACTGCTTGGTTAGAAACTGGAGGGACGGATTGTGTTGTAGTGTCAGCAGAAGTAGAAACAGCTGCATCTAGTGGAGTAAACCCATTTCCTAGCTCCAAGGGAGTCCAGGACATGAGGCTGCAAGTGTCAATGCGTGTGCTTCATGCGCACAAGCATTTCAGTTTTCTCCTGGCAGCACAGCCCAGAGGACCAAACAGAACAAGCTCGGCCCAAAAGCAAGAAAGTGGCTCATTCAGAGCAACTGATGTAGATTCAGGAGAACGCTGTGATGTTGTGCGACTCATTGATCGGAATGCAAACATACCACTGCAGTTCATCTCTCATCTGCTTTATTATTGCCGATAATAAATCAACTACTTTACAAACCACTCTTAGTATTACAAGCACGTTCTATTTTTATGCTTCAGGATGCTTTCTGCTGCCTTCCATTACACATTAACAATGCATATTCCATAAGCAACACCAGCAAACAGGTTCCATGCTTCAGTGAGGAGTGGCTTTACATGCACACTACGCTCATTTTGAAGTCTTATTTTGACTTAAGTCCCCAAATGAATGTCCTTTCAAAACTGTTATTTGGAAAACGTAAGAGTTACCACAAAAGCACCTAATATAATCAAACGCAATACGATAACATGTCAGAAAACTATTAATATGGATTGTCTTTCTCTAAGCAGAAACACAAGATGTGTACCTACCATCAATCAGACATTGCATTGAATTAAGTGTGCATGAAAAAAACCAGAGGGTTTATCAGTACGGGGCCTGCTGTCAAACACAGATTTATAAGTTCAGAACAAAAACAATAAATGTAAAAGGTGAAGGTAAACTCGCTAAATGATTTCAAAAACCACAGTTTAATTATGTAGTTATTTAGATAATTGACACATAATCCACTCTATATGGGGGGGGGGGGGTACTGCTTCATCAGTACTGATGAAGCAGGATCGGAGTGGGAAATGTTGTGAGCCTCCTGGTGGTCTAACTCAGCTCCTGCTGCCCGGATGGTTCAGGTTCATCCGAGGGCTCAGAGGGGCCACAGCATTTGTTCTTTAAAGAACGTCCCAAAAACAGCCAGTACTCCTTACGGATAGTGTCCTTCTCCTGAGCCAATAGTTGACAAATCTACAAGGGAGGGGGGGGGCAGAAGACAAGAAGGGTCAGAAAACACAAATAGTGGTACAATTTTCAGTTTATTTAAGATAATCCTGATCTCTCACAGATGTATTGGTGAGCAACAAGCACCAGCAAACATTAAAACACATCCTTAACTATCAGTCATTATCAAAGTCGTAACTATTTCTGAGGTTGTACTTTCCTTTAACAGCAGCACTTACTTCTAGAGCCTTTCTTAACGTTTCCTTTCGGTCCCCTTCCGACATATTTTCTTTTTTGTTGCTGTTCTCCAAGACGTCCTCGTAGCAATCAAACAGAAATGCCAGAAGATAAGATGAACAGTGAGTCTCCTTCAGCTCAAGGATCCTCTCCAGCAGGCCTGGCGGAGATGACAGACCTTGGTCTTGCAGTATCCTTGAGAAAAAAAAAAGAGGTGATACTGAGTCTCCACGTGCTTTTTTTCCCTTCTGTCATATATTGCAAATGTCTGAATGGCGATGGCACACAGGCAGACTGAACCTTATGAACAAATAAACAGTTTTGCACCTTGAAGACTTAGGATTAGAAATACTTATTAGATTTGTGACATCTTACCCTTTCAAATAGTTCCATGCACTTTCATTGTGGGGAGCCGTCTTGATTTGGATCAGACAATACCTTACACAGAGGAGAGGAGCATCAGTCTAACACGTGCAACAGAAAACTTAATGTTGCACATACTGAAGCAGGAACAAAGCCTGGATTATAAAAAGAAACGTGTTATTGGTACAGCTTGTTCGTAGGACATCTCATTTTTGGCAAGCAAATACAGGAAGTTATTCTCAACACTCAAGAAAGCATTTCTTTTTAAAGACTGACTATTTATGGTCAGAAGTCCAAAAATTGCTGTCACTTTCCATTCGACTTGAAAGATTGCAAAGTTAACTATGTGTCTAAATCATTTAGACTTTTAGGAAAAGTACTCACTGAATCTCTCTCTCCACTATGGCTGGATCAGAGAAGCCTGTAGTGTGAGAAATTACAAAATGCCTCTGGTTCCATGCAGAGTTATTCCTCACATCTTCTTCCAGAAGACTCTCCACAAACTCCAGCTCGTTGTCCCACAGTTTGTACTCCTGCAGATCGAATAAGACAAATGTTGGCAATGTGCCCGTTTATGTACTCATGCAGTGCTTTTAGTGGTGGCCCTGCGATGCATGACACAAACACTGACCACGGAGGGATCAATGAGTAAAGGATTGGTTCTGGCAGAGTGGCTCACCGTGGGCACACAACCAGATCTCAGCTCTAATTTTTGAAACAAACACCTACCTGGATGACCCACTGTCTGTGCTGCCAGGCGTGGTAGTTCTTTGCATCTTGGCTGAGAATGTCCGCAATGAACTCCAATTCCTCCGCGGGGTCATTCAACCACTCTACCACCATACGTCTGTGATGCCTGGGAGGGGAGTTTAGAAAGTCTTGTTGTCCAACGCTTTCATTAAACCTAATCATTTGTAAAAATGCCTGGCTTCACTCCTCTTTCTCCACTGCCTGCAAATCCTGTCTTAAAAAAAAACTAACTTTCAAACAAATAATTAAATAAATGACCCTGATAGTTAATAGCTTCTTAAGCAATGCCACAGCATTTAACAACTGCTACACATACATGTTCCCTGAAATTAATTTGCCAGCACTCACCAGACTTGATAGTTTTTGGGTTGCTCCTCGATGATGGCAGTAATGTACCTCATCTCCTCCCTCAGGTCCTTTGATAGCGCCTGCAGCAATACTCGCCTGTAGTGCCTGCACATACCCAAAAGAAGTGTCATTAAACAGATGAACTGAAACGGTAAACAACAAGTTTAAATACTTGTGAGAGTGAGACCTCTTTGCTCATTAAGGGACAGCTCTATCCAAACATAACTTCAGATCCAAAGAGAAAATGTGGTACTGAGGAGGTGCAGCTTTTATGATCCACAGCTCAGCATCAGTAAGAGCGCCCCCTCCATTGTGAGGCATTCCTTTTCAAACTAACACATTTGCATTTGTAAATAATTCTAACACATTTTATACCCCCCCAAAAAATATCTCTATTGTGTTTGTTTCCCCGCGATGGGGAAATGAGACACTACTACACAGTAAACATGAGTTTTCCATATCACAACATGCACCACGCTCACCACACTGTGTAATTAGCAGCATTTAGCTCAATGGCATCTGCTGTCAAGGCGAAAGCCCGATCGCTTCTTTCATCATTCTTCAGGAGTGCACGGAAATAGTCGTACACATCTGAGACTGTTGGAAGAAATATATGTAAACGTTAAATGTATGTTATACACTTATGTTGGAAATATCCACAAAGTTCTGACTACAACTACTATTGACTCGATGCTTTCACATCTATGGTATTCCTATGCCACTAATGATCCCATCAATCTTACACTTTTCAGAGTAGGCGATCTTCACAACAGGATTTGGACCATCGTCCTGAGTAACAGGCTCCAGATCAGCCCACTCCTTTCTGTCTCTGCAAGAAACAACAACAACACGGGGGTCGATTTCCTGGCTGCTAATCTCAGATTTTGTCAGAAGGTAACAGTTAGCATATGAAGCTAGCACTTCTTACACTGAGTACTTTGTTAAACAAATACAATACAAATTCATAGTGAAAAGACAATATATCGTTGCTGTGGCAGTTTATTTGTGCCTTTGTCAGTTTCTTAAATTCTTCTACTTGGCACAACAGACCGAGGTGAATTTACAGAAACAACTAGCAGTTAGCACAACATTGCTCCAATAAATAGCTAATTGATTTGTGTTTGCAGTTGAATCCAATGACACTCCTGGTAATGTTATGATGGCAAACATTAACGAAACTTACTGACAGAACTGACGTTAAACTAGAAGTTATCAAACATTATCGTGTCATTTATTACACACTAAAACTAATGGAAGACGTGTTTACCGTTAGAGCAGCTAGCAAGCTAGCCCCTCGAACATTTATGAAAAATGATAACCAAACATTACCTGAAAAATATATATCGAGTCGGGTCAAGAAAGTAATCATCCTCGATGTGGTCATCAGACTCTACATGAAACTCTTTGTCTTCTTTCACTTCTAAAGATTCATTTGAAATTTCCTCGACACCTGACATTGCTAATTTGGTAACTTAATCGGTAGTAGTCGAGGAAGGAGGAAAACGTAGCATCCGGTGTAGCGGAAAGCTGCCTTTACGTACTGTGGGAAATATGAGGCTCGTTCGAGATGAATTGCGCCTCACCTGGAAATGGACGAGATCAGGCGGCAGCAGCAAGAGAAGAACTTCTTCTTTCTTCTTCTTTCTTTTTTGAAGTTTATAGGCGGTTGGCAAACAATGAATTGGTGCATTACCGCCACCAGCTGGTATGGAGTGTGGATCAGGATGTCTAATACTCACATACAAATTAAAATTCAAAAAGAAAAGAAAAAAGAAACAAAACAACAAAATAAAACAAAACAAAAAAACGGGCTCATATTTTCTTAATACTATCAATACATCTAAGATATTGAAATAATACTTGATAACACTCACTTTTTGAGTTATTTTGCAGAATATCCACTATATCCAACCGTACCTTCATCTTGCCGAGGTCTCCAATCAGTTGCCCTCTTTCCTGCTCATATTTCTGACATTGCACAATAACATGTTCTGTTGTTTCCTCTTGCCCACAATAGTCGCATTTTCCTGTTTCGTGTTTACCTATTTTTGAAGCATACCGTTTAGACCAGTGTGTCCAAATCTAAGCCTGATATTACCGTTTCCTCTCTCTTGTTCCTTCCTGCAAATCTCATTTCACCCACTTTCCTCTTGAACTCGGTAAAACCATCATCCTTTCCTGTCTTCTTCCCATTGCTTCTGCCACCTTTCCTTCAACCTGTTTAATGATACTTTTAGTTTCTGATTTACTGAAGCTGACTGTAACATTAGTGCAGCTCTTTTTTGTGGCCTCTTTTGCAGCTTTATCTGCCATTTCATTTCCTATGACCCCAATATGTGCTGGTAACCATAGGAATATGACTGTCAGACCCATCATTTGAATTCTGTACAATGTTTGTTGTATTTCTATAAGGATGTCTGGTCTACTGTCTGAATGGCTGTTCTGTAAGCTGGCTAATGATGAACTTGAATCTGAACAAATGTATTTCTCCTGTGTACACTGATACTCCCTCAGTGATCATTTTACCTATTTTAATATTAAATCCCGAACAATAAATGCCACTCCTACCTTGTTTCCTAAATTCTTTGATGCATCTGTGAAAACCTATCTGTGATAACTGTGGTTGAGGAAGAACTTTGGTCAAGTCGGAGAGTTTATAGCAGCAATATTTACATCCTGTAAGATGTTATTGCACAACATTAGACTTGGCTAATCTCAAACGAGCCTATGGCAACATTCTTTTTTTCTTTTGTTTTAACAACAGATGACTCCCGTTATTATTTATTTTCATAGAACCGAAGTCCACAGCCCATTATCCAAAAGCAGTCGTTTTTTGTTTTGTTTTAACGCTAAGAAGAGCTGGGTGGACTATGTGTGACCTGGGTGCATTCTTTATCTCTCAGGAACCTAGAGTCTTAATACTAACTATTTCCCATGCCAAATGGAACAATGTCTCTGAAGCGTCCTGGATGCCTCCTCTGCCTTCACAGCTGGTCCAACTGAGGGATCCGGGCCAAGGTAACAGGGGATGAGGAGTCAGCCACTGGTAGGGGTGCAGGGGATGAGGAGGGGGGCGACTCCGTCACTGACAGGCAGCTTCGATTGTCTCTGCCTCCTGGTCTGGGAGGGCGGAAGCCTCTGGTCATTTTGTGAAATATGCTGGAGAGGACGTAGCAGTTACCCCTGTCTGGAATGGAAATGAACTTTCTACATCCACTGTCACTCTTTCCATCAGGGCCCTTGGGTGCTTTGGAAGACTCTGCCACCTCTTCCCCCAATGGCCGCTGTGAGTCCACATCCTGCTCCAGCTGCTGTCTCCACTCTGCCATTGCCCACTGCCTGCAGCTCCCGGCTTATAAACTCCTCCAACCGCCAAACTGCAGCACACACTCCCTCCCGAGCCTCTCTCTCCGCTCACAGTAGTGGCAGCCATCTGCGGCACACGGGCTGGCGAGAGCAGGTGTCTGCATTGGTGTGGCCCGCCCCAGCACTGTGCTCCATGTTGAAGTTGAAATCCTTGTTCTTCTCTAACCACCTGGCAACCTGCCCATCTGGCTCCTTGAACGTTATGAGCCACTGAAGGGTAGAGTGGTCAGTCCTCACAGTGAAGGGCGAGCCAACGAGGTAGCAATTAAAGTGCCTGATTGACAGCACCACTGCCAAGAGCTCCCTGCGGATGACGCAGTAGCACTGCTAAGCCTTGTTGAACGCCTCTGGCCCCCATTAGGTCCCACCTGGGGAAGTACTGCTCGCACCCCCACACCGCTAGCATATGTGTCAAGGAGGAACAGCAAGGTGGGGTCAGCTGGAGCAAGCACTGGCGCCCCACTCAGGGCACTCCAAAGACTTCTGAACATCGTCTGGCATTGCATAGTCCACACAGAGTCTCTGTACTTCTGTAGCAGCTGAAACAGGGGTGCAGCAGTGCAGGGGAAACCCCGTACAAACCCGCTGTAGTAAGAATCCAGGCCCAAGAAGCTCTTCAGCTGATTCTTTTTGGTGGGGGTGGGCTAGTCTGCGACTGCCTGCACCTTTCCCCAAAAAGAATACCTCTCTCTGCATTGAGTGGCACTTCTCGGGGTGCAGCTTCAGGCTGCTCTGATCTTATCCAGCACCAACTGCAGGGATGCCAGGATGGCCCGAAGGATTTGTCATGCACCAGGATGTCATCGAGGTAAACCAGGCATGACTGACGGGGGACACCAACCAGCAACCTTTTCCATCAACCTCACGAAGTTGCCAGCGGCATTATAAATTCCCAAGCCACAAACTGCCACAGTCTCTGTCCAGTGCAGAAAGCTTTTTTAGGTCTGGCCTCTGGAGCAAGAGGTACCTGGTAATATCCACTGCTGAGGTCCAAGGAGGAGAACCAGGAGTGCCAGGTCCAGAGACTTGTTGATGCAGGGCAGGGGGTATGAATCCTTCTTGGTTACCCTATTCACCGGCCTGTAGTCTGTACAGAGTTGCCATCCACTTTCCTTCTTGGGGACCATGATGACTGCTGCTATCCAGGGGCCAGACTCGATGATGGGATCCAGCTGCAGGCTCAACACAGCTTCATTACAAGCCAGCTGACAAGCCAGAGGTAGGGGGCGAGGGGGGTCAATGGGGGGGCATAGTGACAGCAGGACCCTCTTGGGAACTTGGAAATTGATTTTTAAAAAAGTCATGGAATTTCACACTATAGTATTTTGAAAAAAGTGATATGTCAAAAGAAGTCATACAAATGTCATAGTATAGTATTTTGAAAAAAATCATAAAAACATGTAGTTTGTCCAAATTAAGTCGGAAAAAAGTCATTAAAACGTCGTAAAAAGTCATAATATAATATATCAAAAAAGTCATAGTATAGTAGGTAATAAAAAACACAACATTCAATCCAAGAGTATGAATCTAAAATGCAAAAATGAGAGAAGCAATATCTCAATTGAACCTCAATGATACTACCGGTAATATTGGCATATATATATTGCAACGTCTTTGGGCAGCAGCAAAATTTCTTGTGAATTGTTCTAGTTATACTCTACTCTCTTACATTAATTGTGAGTATTGTGTTAATCAGCTGTTGTTGCCCTCCTGCCACTATTTATTTCTCTCCCGATGTTGTTCATGTAGTACCAAGGCCTGTACACTTGCCACTTTTGATAAACGGTCATCCGCAGATCGGTTGAATTTGCAAAATAAAACCCATCAGAGTATGTTAATCACCATTACTAGAATATCTCTGGAATGCTGAGGTCAAGAAACTCACTTTCAATTGCCCCGCACTCCATCACTGTTGTATTTTTCCAATTAGTGTCCCTTTTAGAAGTTTGGTAATCCAGCATGGAACAACAGTGTTTTTGAAAGACTTTATCAAACTAATAAATCCAACAATGAATGTCTTATTAGTTATCCATTTACCTATGCTTAAAGGAGTCGTTGACGTTAGCTGAGGCCTGCTGGAGGCGTGATTTATCCCATGATGCATAGGGTCGAGTCTGTCGACAAATCAGAGGCTGTGTTCACATTCTATCTATGGCTGTGTTGCTTACTGAGCGCAACAGTCGGTAAGAGTGCTGATCTCAGAGGCCACACACACAACGGCATAACTCGACATTCACCCCATCCTAGTATCATGTAGACCTAAACAAGTAGATTATATAGATATAACATATCCCGACTGTAATACACAATGGCCAATAATATAGTTGTTAGTTGGTTCTTACACATTTGGCGTCTGTAATGTGGAGTTTTTGATCTGTGTTGCATAAACTGTTTAGTTTTTACCCCGATCATCAAGGCCTAGAACTATTCCATTTGAAGTCTTGTACACTACTGTGTAATGAGATTCAGTTTTTGTTTTCCTGTTGTATTTATAGCAGTAAAACTATTAATACATTCATATGACATCACCGTAGCATACATATTGTAATTGTTTAGTCGGGTTAACATTTTACTTTTAATACATCTCCAACAGTCCTAATGTCCTGAAGAGGTAAATCTATAAATGAAGAATATTCAAAAAAGCATTGCTTCATATCCCCCCCCCCATCCAGCCTGTTGAGACGCAACTGAAACAACATCAGTGACAAATTTGTTACGGCCAAGCTGAACTTTATTTTCATCAACGACTCTGGACATTATAAAAATAAATAGATGATTCACAGTCAGTGGATCGTAATACAAATTGTTATCAAAATGATGCATCAGCCAGAATGAAGAATTAAACATGCACAATCACCATTCCATCGACATATACATGTTCTGAATACTCCCCTCCGTTATCTGCAATTAACTAAATCTGTTTTGCAACAGAACCAGTTGACGGTATAGAAAATCACCATTCAAATTAGACAGCTATGCAGGTAGAATGAGCTTCTCTCGGATGTTTTCAGTGAAAGCTTGACCCAAAGTGTGTTCAGTGACTGTCTTCTTCATCCAGTCCGTGTTTTTCAATGTAGCGTCTAGAAGAGGAAAAACAGATAATATAGTCACTTTTTACTTCGCCTTGTAAGAGTTGTTTAATCCGTCAATAATTTAACACACACACACACACACACACACACACACACACACACACACACACA